ACCCCCCCTTTCCCCTCCCCCCCCCAGAGGAGGCGTTCGAGGGGCTCCGGATCGAGCCCTTTTCCAGCCCCCCGGAGCTGCCGGACGTGATGAAACCCCAGGACTCCACCGGGGCCGCCACAGACCCCCCCCTGCCCTAAAACCCCCCAAAACGACCCCCCCTGCCCTAAAACCCCCCAAAAACCAACCCCCCTGCCCTAAAACCCCCCCAAATGACCCCCCCTGCCCTAAAACCCCCCAAAATGACCCCCCTTGCCCTAAAAAACCCCCAAAAAACTGAGTCCCCCTTACCCTAAACCCCCCAAACAGACCCCCCCCCCCCTTAATAAAAACCCCCCAAAACTGCCCCCCCCGCCCTAAAACCCCCCCAAAATCGACCCCCTCCTGCCCTAAAACCCCAAAAACCAACCCCCACCTGCCCTAAAACCCCCAAAAATAACCCCCCTACCCTGAGACCCCCAAAACCCAACACCCCCCTTACCCTAAAAACCCCAAAAAATGACCCCCCCTGCCCTAAAACCCCCCAAAAACCGACCCCCCCCTACCCTGAGACCCCCAAAAACCGACCCCCCCCGCCCTAAAACCCCCCAAAATGACCCCCCCCGCCCTAAAACCCCCCCAACCAACCCCCCCCGCCCTGAGACCCCAAAAAATGACCCCCCCTGCCCTAAAACCCCCAAAAACTGACCCCCCCGCCCTAAAAACCCCCAAAATCGACCCCCTCCTGCCCTAAAACCCCAAAAAATGACCCCCCCTGCCCTGAGACCCCCTTTAGGGGAGGTTTGGGACCCCCTGGGAAGGGATTTTGGGGGGATTTTGGGGGTCACGTGACTCCTAACGGGAGATTTGGGGGGGGGTTGGGGGGTTTTGGGATCCTCGGGGGGGGGGGTTGGGGGTCACGTGACTCCTCAAGGGGGTTTTGAGATTTTGGGCCCCCCCCAGGGGTGGATTTTGGGGTTGAAAGGGGGGTTTTAGAGGGGGAGGAGATTTGGGGGGTCCCAGGAACTTTTTTGGGGGGGTCGTGGGACCCCCTGGGGGGAAATTCGGGGGTCCCAAGAGCTTTTTTTTGGGGGGGGGGAGGGGGGTGTCCTGTGACTCCTGGGGGGAGATTTGGGGTCTGAGGGGGGGTCTGGTCATGGCTTGGACATTTTTTGGGGGGGGTCCCACCCATGTTTTGGGGGTCCCACCCACTTTTTGGGGGGGAGGTCTCACATTTGGGGGGGTCAAAGCTGTTACAGGGGGGGTCACGTGTTTGTTTTTTGGGGGGCGGGGTCACGTGTGTCCTGAGCTCCCCCCTCCCCAAATAAACCCCTCCCCCATCTGCATCTGGGGGGCCCTGAGAGCGACTCCATGGTCTGGGGGGGGTCCCAAATTTGGGGGGGTTTGGGAGGTCCAGGGGGGGGGATTTTGGGAATCCCAGAATTTTGGGGGGTCCTGGGGGGAATTTTGGGGGTCCCAGAATTTTGGGGGGGTCCCAAAAATGTTTTTGGGGGTCCCCGGGGTTTTTTTTTTTTTTTGTGGCTCTTTGGTGACTCCTGAGCCCCGCCCCCAACCCCAAACCCCGCCCACTCCCGATGCTCCGCCCCAAATATTAAACCACACCCACCCCTGCTCGAATAAGCCCCGCCCCCCCACACAAACCACGCCCACTCCGTTTCCGGCCGTTTTAATGTAAAACAAAAAGGGGGGGAGGGGGAACAACATCCAAAAAAAGGGGGCGGGGCTTGGAGGAAAACGGGGCGGGGTCTGGTGAGGAAAGGGCGGGGCTTGAACAGCGGTGGGCGGGACCTGGAAATGAAAAGGGGGCGGGGTTTATGGAGAAGGGGGTGGAGGTTGTAAGAAGGGGCGGGGCTTGAAGAGGAAAAGGGGGCGGGGTTTTGCAGACGGGGCGGAGCTTCAAGGGGGCGGAGCTGCAAGAGAAGAGAGGGGTGAGGGGGCGGGGCGGCCCCCACAGCGCCCCCCAGCGGCCGGGAGGACCCACGGCGGCCCCTTTTGTTGGGGGGGGGAGGGGGAGGGTCCGGACCCACAGGGGGGGTTTTGGGGGGTGGGGGAGGGGTGGGGAGGGGTCTGACCCACGTGGGGGGTTTTTTTTCGACCCCCAATTTTTTCCGGGGGGGGGAAGGGCAGGGTCTGCCCCTCCCCCCACACCTACCGGCCGCCGGGGGGGCCCCGGGAGCGGCTCCGGAGGGTCCTTGGGAGGGTCCTGAGGGGGGGACACGGGGAGGGGGGAGGGTGACCCAGAGAGTGACCCCCAGAGGGACCCCCCAAACCCCCAGGAGCGATGGGACCCCCTGAGCAGCCCCACAGATCCCTCCTGGCCCCACAGATCCAGGCCCTGCCCCACAGCACAACTCACGGCCCCACAGATCCCTTTCCAGCCCCACAGATCCCTCCCCAGCCCCACAGATCCCTCCCCAGCCCCACAAATCCCTTTCCAGCCCCATAAACTCCCTCCCAGCCCCACATCCTATAACCAGCCCCACAAGATCCTTTTCCAGCCCCACAGATCCCTCCCAGCCCCCCCAATGCCTTTCCAGCCCCACAGATCCCTTTTCCAGCCCCACAGATCCTTTTCCAGCCCCACAGATCCCTCCAAACCCCATAAGCAGCCCCCCAAACCCAGGCCCTGCCCCACAGCACAGCTCACTCCCCACACCCCCCCTCCCAGCCCCATAAGCAGCCTCACATCCTATTTCCAGCCTCACTGACCCCCCTCCCAGCCCCACAGATCCCTTCCCGGCCCCATAACCAGCCCCACAAATCCCTGTCCTGCCCCACATCCTATTGCCAGCCCCACAGCACAGCTCACACCCCACACATCCCACCCCACAGATCCTCTCCCAGCCCCAATGACCCCCTCCCAGCCCCACATCCTATTTCCAGCCCCACAGCTCCTCTCCCAGCCCCATAACCAGCCCCACATCCTATTTGTGACCCCACAGCTTCCCCTCCAACCCCACTGACCCCCTTCCCACCCCACAAGCTCCCTCCCAGCCCCACAAGCTCCCTCCCAGCTCCACATCCTCATTTCCAGCCCCCCAAGTGGGGTCTCTGCCCCACAACCACCGACACCAGACTGGGAACGAACAAACAAAGGGGGAGAAAACCCCCCCCCAGGACCCCAAAACTCACCCCCTGGGCCCCACAGCTCTGACCCCCAAGTGGGGCTCAAGTCCCCCCACAGATGCTCCTGCAATGGGGCACAAATGAAACCCCCAAAACCCCGGCCTGGGCCCCACAGCCCCGCCCCACACGTGGGTCCAGGTGACCCCGAGGGCCCCACAGATCCACCCCCCTGGCGACCCCAAAGCTCTGCCCCCCAAGTGGCTCCAAGTCACCTCCTGGGACCCCCAAATCCGCCCCCCCAAGTGGGGGTCAACCCCCCCCTCTGGGCCCCCAAAATCCACCCCTAAAGTGGGTCCAGTGACACCGACTGTGCCCCCCAAGTGACACCGACTGTGCCCCCCAAGTGACACCGACTGTGCCCCCCAAGTAGCTCCCAATCCCCTCCCGGGCCCCACAAATCCTCCCCCCCCAAACATCAGGTGCTTTTCACCCCAAAATCCACCCCCCAGGGGGGTTCCAGTGGCCGCCTGGGACCCCAAATTCTGCCCCCCAAGTGGGCACAAAAAACCCCCCAAGTGGGGTCCGGTGACCCCAAGGGCCCCCCCCAAACTCTGCCCCACAACTGGGCACCTTCACCCCAAATTCCACCCCCAAACTGGGCCTTTTTCACCCCAAACTGGGTGTTTTTCACCCCCAATGGGGGGGGGTGACCCCCAACCCCCCCAGCGATGCTCACCCCACATCTGGACACATCTGGGCCCCTCTGGGCTCAGCTCCCCCCACGGCCCCACAGAGGCTCCTGCAATGGGGCAGAAATGAAGCCCCCGGACCCCCAAAAAGCTCCAAAACCCCCCCAAAACTGGGCCCAACCCCCCCCCTCAAACGGGGCACAAAAATCCCCCCAAAACCAGGCCCCAAAAAGGGTCAAACGGCCCCAAAAATCCACCCGGAAGTGGGTCCAGGAGACTCCCAGAGGGGGCACAAAAACCCCCCCAAAATCGCCCCCCAAGCAGGTCCAAGTCCCTTCATGTGCCCCCCCCCGACCCGCCCCCAAACTGGGCCTTTTCACCCCCAAAATCCACCCCAAACCCACGACATTTCGACCCCAAAACTGGGCATTTTCACCCCAGAATCCACCCCCAAGAACTGGAAATTTCACCCCCAAAACCCACCCCCAAAACTGGGAATTTGACCCCAAACTCCCCCCCCTCTCCCCCAAACTGGGCGTTTCCACCCCAAAACTGGACATTTTGAACCCCAAACTCCCCCAAAACTGGGCATTTTCACCCCCAAATCCACCCCCAAAACTGGGCATTTTCACCCCAAAATCCACCCCCAAAACTGGACATTTTCACCCCAAAATCCACCCCCGAATCTGGACATTTTCACCCCAAAATCCACCCCCAAAACTGGACATTTTTACCCCAAAACTGGACATTTTCACCCCAAACCCCAACATTTGCCCCCCACCCCCAAATCCCCTCCCTCCCTCCCCCCCCTTGGCCCCGCCCCCCGCTCTCACCTCAGCCAATCCCGTGCTGGGAAGAGGGGGGGGAGGAGCCGAAGCGTCGCCGCCAACGAGACTCCGCCTCCATCCTAAAAGGGGGGGGCGGGGCCTCCGCCCTAAACCACGCCCACACGCCCCGCCCCTTTTCAGGGGGCCGGGGACACCCAGTTGCCCCAAGTTACCCCTCCCCCGCTCCCAGTCCACGCCCCCTCCTGGGTCGTCCCCGCCCCCTCCCCCGCCCAGGCCGCGGTGGCCCCGCCCCCCGCCCCAGTCCCGTACTGGTTCCCAGTGGCCGCCGCGTACTGGGCGGGGTCGGCGGCCGCGGCGGCCGCCCCCGAGGCCGCGTACTGGGCGGCGCTGGCGGCGTACTGGGCAGCCGTGCTGGCGTACTGGGAGGCCTCCGAGCCCGCCCCCGCGTACTGGGAGCCGTCGCTGGAGCCGTACTGGGAGTACTGGGAGTACTGGGAGGCGAACTGGGCGTACTGCTGGTACTGGTACTGGGCCCCCGCCGCCGCCAGCTGGGAGGAGCTGGTGTTATACTGGGAGGAGGAGGAGGAGGAGGAGGAGGAGGCGGACGAGGCGCCGGTGCCGTACTGGGCGGCGCCGGTGCCGTACTGGGCCGCGCTGGTGCCGTACTGGGCCGCACTGGTGCCGTACTGGGAGGCGCTGGTGCAGTACTGGGCGGCGCCGGCGGCGTACTGGGAGGAGCCGAGGTTATACTGGGAGGAGCCCAGGCCGTACTGGGCCATCCTGGAGGCCATGGCGGGGGTCATGGCGAAAGGGGAGGGGCTCCGGGGGGCGGCCCCGCCCCCTCCCAGCGAGGCCCCGCCCCTGCCGTGGTAGCAGCACCCGCGGTGGCCGCAGGGGCTGATCCGATTGGCCGCCGCCGCCACCGAGGCCACGCCCATGCCCGCGTTGCCGTGGAAGCGGTGGAGGCAGGCCCCGCCCCCCAGGCGGGCCGAGCAGCCCAGCCCCGCCCCCAGGTTGCCGTGGAAACGGTGCAGGCAGGCCCCGCCCCCTCCCAGGCGGGGGAACGCCCCCCCGGCCACGCCCCCCCGCAGGAAAGGGCTGGGCGGGGTCCTGGGGCTCCACCCCCCTCCCCCAGTTCCTCCCCCCCGCGTGGGCGTGGCCAGGAAGGGCGTGGCCGCGCGCTGGAAGGAGGCGGAGCCGGGGCTGCGGGCGGCCAATAGGGGGAAGGGCCCGCCCCCCCGGCCGGCCACGCCCCCGCGGGCGGTGGCCAACGAGAGCAGAGAGCCCGGAGAGGGGCGGGCCGAGGGGCGCAGGCCACGCCCACCCGCGGAGGTGAGCGACAGGAGGGACCCCGGGGGGCGGGGCAAGGCCGTGACTCCGCCCACCAGGGTGGGCTTGGAGGGGGTGAGGGACAGCAGGGGCGTGGCCGAGGTGGGCGTGGCGGCGGCCGAGGCGGCGGTGGGCGTGGCCGAGGCCGTGGTGGGCGTGGCCGAGGTCGCGGTGGCGGCGGCAGCGGCGGGGGAGGGGGTCACCGAGGGGGTCCCGGGGGTCACCGTGGGGGTCACCGAAGGGGTCGCGCCGGGGGTCGCCGAGGGGGTCGCCGCCGCCGCGGTGGGCGTGGCCTCGGCGGGCGGGGCCGCGGCGGGGGCGGGCTCTGGGTACCGTGCGGGGCTCTCGGTGGCGGCGGCGGCCGCGGCCTCGTCCTCGTCCGAGGAGGAGGAGGAGGAGGAAGAGGAGGAGGAGGAGGAGGAAGAGGAGGAGGAGCTGGAGGAGGAGGAGGAAGAGGAGGAGCTGGAGGAGGAGGAGGAGGAGCTGGAGGAGGAGGAGGAGGACGAGGAGGAGGAGGAGGAGCTGGAGGAGGAGGAGGAGGAGGAGGAGCGGCGCCGTTTGCGCCGGGCGGCCCCGCGGCCCTCCCGGCCCTCCCCGGGCGTGGTCGGGGGCACCTCAGGGGTCGGGGGCACCTCAGGGGTCGGGGGCACCCCGGGGGTGGTCGGGGGGGGCCCCCCAGGGGTCGGGGGCACCGCGGCGGCGGCGGGGGCGGCCTCGGGGGGCGGTGGCCCCGCGGGGGGGACGGTGGTGGCCGTGCTGGTGGTCACGGTGGCCACGGTGGTCACGGTGCTCACGGTGGTCACGGTGGCCGCGGCGGCCGCGGCGGCGACGCTCGGGGACCTGCGGGGACACACAGGGGACGGGGTGGGTGACGGCCTTTGGGGGGGGGGACAGGGCTGGGGGACACCCCAGGGATGTGGGACCCTGATGGGGGGGCCCCTGGGGACAGGAGATGGATGTGGGGGACACCCCTGGGATGTGGGACAGGGGTGGGTGACACCCCAGGGATGTGGGACCCCGATGGGGGGACCCCTTGGGGACACAGGATGTAAGTAGGTGGCACCTTGGGGGACTCAGGAGAGGGGTTGGTGACACCCCAGGGACGTGGGACTCTGATGGGGGGACCCCTGGGGACACGGGATGTAAGGGGGTGACACCCCTGGGGACATGAGTAGGGGACCCTTGGGGACGTGGGACAGGAGTGGGTGACACCCTTGGGGACGTGGGACAGGGGTTGGTGACACCCTTGGGGACAGGGGTTGGTGACACCCCAGGGACGTGGGACCCTGATGGGGGGACCCTTGGGGACACGGGATGTAAGGGAGTGACACCCCTGGGGACATGAGGAGGGAACCTTTGGGGGACAGGGGACAGGAGTAGGGGACACCCCTGGGGACAGGGAACAAGGTGGGTGACACCCATGTGGACGTGGGACCCTGATGGGGGGACCCTTGGGGACATGGGACAGGAGAAGGTGACACCCTTGGGGACATGGGACAGGGGTGGGTGACACCCCAGGGATGTGGGACCCTGATGAGGGACCCCTTGGGGGACACGGGATGTAAGTGGGTGACACCCCTGGGGACACGAGTAGGGAACCTTTGGGGGACAGGGGACAGGAGTAGGGGACCCTTGGGGACGTGGGACCCCGATGGGTGACACCCCTGGGGACAGGGGTTGGTGACACCCCAGGGATGTGGGACCCCGATGGGGGGACCCCTGGGGACAGGGGACAGGGGTGGGTGACACCCCAGGGACGTGGGACCCTTGGGGACAGGGTGGGTGACACCCCTGGGGACACAGGACAGGGGTGGGTGACACCCCAGGGACGCGGGACCCCGTTGGGTGACACCCCTGGGGACACAGGAGGGGGGTGGGGGACACCCCAGGATGTGGGACCCCGATGGGTGACACCCCTGGGGACACAGGAGGGGGGTGGGGGACACCCCTGGGGACAGGGGGACCCCGATGGGTGACACCCCTGGGGACAGGGGACAGGGGACAGGGGTGGGTGACACCCCTGGGGACACAGGAGGGGGGTGGGGGACACCCCAGGGGACAGGGGGACCCCAGCCCTGGGACCCCTGGGGACACGGGACAGGGGTGGGCGGGGCCTTGGGGACATGAGGACCCCGCTAAAGGGACCCGTGGGGGCAGCAGAGGAGGGCGTGGTGGAGGGCGTGGCCATGGCCCAGGAGGGGCGGGGCCTATGCTGATGAGGGCGGGGCCAAGTGTGAAAGGGGGTGTGGCCTCATTCCCTGTGGGTGTGGCCTTGTTGAATGACGGGGCGTGGCCTGAGCCAATGTGGGCGTGGCCAAGCGCGGCAGGGGGCGTGCCCTACCCTGTGGGCGTGGCCACGTGTCCCTCAGTGCGGGCGGGGTCAAGGGGGGGTCTCACCCAATCAGGACCGACACGCAAAAGGGGGGCGTGGCCACATCTCATGGGCGGGGCTTCCTCCACAGCGGGTGGGGCCAGGTGGGTCTCACTCGGTGGGCGTGGCCTCACTCGGTGGGCGTGGCCTCACTCGGTGGGCGTGGCCTCGCTCGCCACGGGCGGGGCTGAAGGGGGTTAAGGGTGGGGGGATCAACCACTGAGGGCGGGGCTGGGGGCGGGGCCTTACCCGGTGGGCGGGGCCGGCGAGGGCGGGCCGGACTCGGAGGAGCTGGAACTGGAGTCGGAGTCGGAGTCGGACGAGGAGGACGAGGAAGAGGAGGAGGAGGAGGACGAGGACGACGAGGACGACGAGCTCTTGGGGGCCTCACTGGGAGCACTGGGAGCACTGGGAGCGCCCGTGGCCACGGCAACCGCGCCGGCGGCGCCGGCGACGCTCGGAGCACCGGGAACGGCAGCACTGGTGACACTGGGAGCACTGGGAACAGCAGCACTGGTGACACTGGGAGCACTGGGAACAGCAGCACTGGTGACACTGGGAGCACTGGTGACACTGGTCATGCTGGTCGCACTGGAGACACTGGGAACAGCAGCACTGGTGACACTGGGAGCACTGGGAACGGCAGCACTGGTGACACTGGTCATGCTGGTCGCACTGGTGACACTGGTCATGCTGGTCGCACTGGTGACGCTGGGAACAGCAGCACTGGTGACACTGGTCGCACTGGTGACACTGGGAGCTCCAGCACTGGTGGCACTGGTGGCACTGGTGGCACTGGAAGCTGCAGCACTGGTGACACTGGAACCTCCAACACTGGTGACACTGGTGACACTGGGAACAGCAGAACTGGAGACACTGGTGACACTGGAAGCTGCAGAACTGGCGAGACTGGTCGCACTGGGAGCAGCAGCACTGGTGACACTGGTGACACTGGTGACACTGGGAGCAGCAGCACTGGTGACACTGGTCATGCTGGTCGCACTGGTGACACTGGGAGCAGCAGCACTGGTGACACTGGTGACACTGGGAGCAGCAGCACTGGTGGCACTGGTCATGCTGGTCGCACTGGTGACACTGGGAGCTCCAGCACTGGCCATACTGGTGGCACTGGTGACACTGGGAACCGCAGGGCTGCTCGCACTGGTCGTACTGGTCGCACTGGGAACCGCAGGACTCGTCATACTGGTCGCACTGGTGACACTGGAAACTGCAGGGCTGGTCAGACTGGTGACACTGGGAACCGCAGGGCTCATACTGGTGGCACTGGTGACACTGGGAACCGCAGCACTGGTGACACTGGTGGCACTGGTGACACTGGGAACCGCAGGGCTCATCATACTGGTGGCACTGGTGACACTGGGAGCACTGGGGACACCGCTGACACCCCCAGAACTGGCCACACTGGTCACACTGGTCACACTGGTCATGCTGGTCACGTCGGTGGCCTGGGGCACGCTGGGAGCACTGGTGACACTGGTGGTGGCCTTGGAGAGAGCACTGGTCATACTGGGAGCACTGGTGGCCTTGGTGGCAATGACGCTGACGTTACTGGTGTCACTGGTGGCCCCGAGGGCACCCCCAGTGGCCGTGGTGGTGGCCATGGTGGCCATGGTGGTCATGGTGGTCATGGTGGTGGCCATGGTGGTGGCCATGGTGGCCATGGCGGTGCTCATGGTGGTGGCCATAGTGGTGGCCATGGTGGTCATGACGGTGGCCGTGGTGGTGGCCATGGTGCTGGCCATGGTGGTGGCCATAGTGGTGGCCGTGGTGTTGGCCGTGGCAGTGGCCATGACGGTGGCCCGCGGGGCGCCCATGGTGGCCATGGCGGTGGCCTTGGCGGTGGCGTCGGCGCTGGCGCGCAGGATGGCGGCGCCCAGGGGGGACACGCCCGCGGGGACAGCCCGGGGGACAAGGCCGGGCGTGGCACCCACGATGACGCTCGGGGTGGCCTTGGGGGCCACTGGGAGGGCACTGGGGGCTCCCACGGTGACACCGGGGGCTCCTGAGAGGACACTGGAGATCCTGGAGGTGACACTGGTGGCCCCTGTGGTGACACTGGTGGATCCCAGGGTGACACTGGTGGCCCCTGTGGTGACACTGGTGGCTCCTGAGAGGACACTGGTGGTCCCCGTGGTGACACTGGTGGCCCCTGTGGTGACACTGGTGGCCCCCGTGAGGACACTGGTGGCCTTGGGGGAGACACTGGTGGCACTGGTGGCACTGGTGACACCGGGGCTGACGGTGGCGGCCCCGGTGGCCTTGGGGGTGACACTGGTGACAACAGCGGCGGTGGCGGCTCCCACGGTGACCCCGCTGGCCTTGTTCTCCACACTGGTGACACTGGTGGCACTGGTGGCCTTGTTCTCCACGCTGGTGACACTGGTGGCACTGGTGGCACTGGTGGCCTTGTTCTCCGTGCCGGTGACACCCACAGCCGGACTGGTGACACTGGTGGCCCCTGTGACCTTGTTCTCCATACTGGTGACACTGGTGGCACTGGTGGCCTTGTTCTCCGTGCTGGTGGCACCCACAGCCACACTGGGGGCACTGGTGGCCCTGCTGTCCAAGTTGGTGGCCCCAGAGATGACACTGGTGGCCTTGGCATCCATGGTGGTGACACCGGTGGCCCTGCCGTCCATGGTGGTGACACTGGTGGCCCTGCCGTCCATGGTGGTGACACTGGTGGCCTTGGCATCCATGGTGGTGACACCGGTGGCCCTGCCGTCCATGGTGGTGACACCGGTGGCCTTGGAGGTGACCCCGCTGTCCGCGGGCGTGGCCTTAGCGCTGCCACCCAGAGCGGCCTTACTGTCCCCTGGGCCGGTGGCCTTGTTGTCCGGGCCGGTGGCCACGGTGACACCGGTGGCCTTCGGGGCGACACTGGTGGCCCCCACGGTGACGTTGGTGGCCCCCACGGTGCCACTGGTGGCCCCCACGGCGATGCTGGTGCCACTGGTGCCAGCGGTGACCCCGACCCCTCTGGTGGTCACCTTGTTGTCCATCAGGCTGCCGGCGACCCCCCCAGCCCTGGGGGCCACCCCGTAGCCCCCGGTGGCCCCCAGGGCCGCGCCCCCCTTGGCGTGGCCCAGCCGGGGCGGCGGCAGCAGCGGCGGCAGCGCCGAGGCGGCCACGGGGGACGAGGGCAGGCTGAGGCGGGCGGCGGGCAGCAGGGACCCCAGGGTGCCCCCCGGGCCCCGGGACAGAGCCCGGGGCAACCCCGGGGGCGGGGGGGGCGGGGTGGCCCTGGGGGACACCCGGGGGGCCATGGGGGGGACAGAGGAGGGTTGGGGGCCTTTGGGGGCCTCAGCGGGGGAGGGTCTGGGGGGCGGCACCGCTTTGGGCTCCGGGGAGGGTTTGGGGGGCGGGAGGAGGGGAGGGGGTTTGGGGTCCGCGGGGGATTTGGGGGGGACGGGGGGGGACGCGGGCACGGCCCTGGGGAGGGCGGGGGGGGGCACCTCCGCCTTGGGGCCGGGCGGGGACGGCGCCTTGGGGACGCCCTGGGGAGGGGACAGCAGGGCTTGGGGGTCACCAGCACCCAGTTTGGGGTCCCCAGCGCCCAGTTTGGGGTCCCCAGCGCCCAGTTTAAAATCCCCAGCGCCCAGTTTGGGGTCCCCAGCACCCACTTTGATGTCACCAGCGCCCAGTTTGGGGTCCCCAGCACCCAATTTAACATCCCCAGCACCCAATTTGGGGTCCCCAGCGCCCAATTTGGGGTCCCCAGCGCCCAGTTTGGCGTCTCCACCGCCCAGTTTGCTCTCGTTGGTTCCCAGTTTGCCCTCGCTGGCTCCCAGTTTGGTGCCGTTGACGCCCAGTTTGGCGTCGGTCGCTCCCAGTTTGGCGTCACCCTTGGCTGGGGGTGGCCCTGGGGACACTTTGGTGGCCCCGGGGGGCGACGCCGCCCCCGGTGATTTGGGGGTCGCCGGGGGGGTCAGGCCGGGGGTGGGGACAGTGGGGGGGACGTTTGGGGTCCCCCCCGGCCCCTCCGAGGCCGGTTTGGTGACACTGGGGGGGGTGACACTGGGGGGGGTGACACTGGGGGGGGGGACACCGCTGGGTTTGGTCACCCCGGTGGTCCCCGGTGACCCTTCGGGGGGGGGTTTGGAGACCCTTCCCCCGGGGGTCCCCGGTGACCCTTCTGGGGGGGGTTTGGAGACCCCGGGGGTCCCCAGTGTCCCCTCCTGGGTGGGTTTGGTGACCCCGGGGGTCCCCAGCGTCCCCTCCTGGGTGGGTTTGGAGACCCCGGGGGTCCCCGACGCCCCTTCCGGGGCGGGTTTGGTGCCCCCGGGGTCCCCCTCGGAGGCCGCGTGGGGGTCCCCGCCTCGGTGCCGGGCGGTGCCGGCTGCGGGGGGAGGGGCTGCTGTGCCCCTCCCCCGATGGGGACCCATTTGGGGGTGCCCGGGGTGCCCCCCCGGGGCGGGGGCGGCTGCGGCGCCGCCGGGTGCAGCTCGGCCAGGGGCGCCCACTTGGGCCGGGCGGGGAAGGGGCGTGGCCTCGGCGGGGGGTGTGGGCGTGGCTAATTTGGGGAGGAGGGGCGGCGGCGGGGGGGTGGGGGAGGAGGGGCGGCGGCGGGGGGGGTGGGTGAGAGAGCAACTGGCCCGGCGTGGGGATGGGCTGTCGCTGGCGCCGCGGCGCCGCCCGGGAGGGGAGCTGGAGCGGGGCCGCGCCCGTTTGTTGGGAGGGAGGGGCGAGGACAGGGAGCGGCTCCGGCGGGTCCCCCCGCGGCGACGGCGCCGCCGGTCCGGGGACGGGGACAGGGAGCGGGAGCGGCGGCGGGAGCGGGAGCGCCGGAGAGGAGACCGGGAACGCCGGAGAGGAGACCGGGAACGCCGGATCGGGGAGCGGGAGCGGCGTAAGGGGGAGCGGGAGCGGCGCCGGGAGCGGGAGCGGCGCCGGGAGCGGGAGCGGCGGATCGGGGAGCGGGAGCGGCGCAGGGCGGAGCGGGAGCGGCGGCGGGAGCGGGAGCGGCGGATCGGGGACCGGGAACGCCGGATGGGGGAGCGGGAACGCCGGATGGGGGAGCGGGAGCGGCGCCGGGAGCGGGAGCGGGATCGGGAGCGTCCCCAGCGGCGGGAGCGGCGGGAGCGGGAGCGGGAGCGGCGCCGGCGGGTGGTGGAGCGGGAGCGGGAGCGCGCCGAGGACGCCGACGTCGCCGTGGTGGCCGCGCCGGCGGCGCCGGCGGCCACGGGCAGGGGGGTGATGCCGGCGACGGGCCAGCGCAGGGGGGAGGCGGCGTTGGGGGTCCAGAGCGGGGTGCGGGAGCGGGAGCGGCGGCGCGGGCGGGAGCGGGAGCGCTGGCGGGGGCGGGAGCGGGGCCGGGAGCGGGAGCGGCGGCGGAGGAAGGAGCCGCGGGGGCGGCGCCGGGAGCGGGAGCGGGAGCGGGAGCGGGAGCGGGAGCGGCGGGAGGAGGCCCGGGGGGTCGCGGGGGCGCTCGGGGTGGTCTGGGGGCGTTTCAGGGGCGGGGGAGGGGGGGTGGGCGAGCGCTGGGGAGGGGGAGGGGAGGCGGCTTTGGGGGAGGGGGGGTGGGGGGCGGGGCTCCTCACGGGCGGGCGGGGACGGGCGGGACGGGCAACGGGCGCACCGGGCGGGCTCCTCAACGGGGGCGCGGCCGCACGGCGCCTCACGGGGGCGGGCGACGGGCGGGGGGGGGAGCGGGGCGCGGGCGGGGAGGACCGGGCGGGGGGTCACGGGCGGGGCGGGGGCGGGGGGGGCGGGGGCGGGCGCTCCGCTCCCCGCACGGGCGGGGCGGGCCTTCCGCGGCGGGGGTGGGGCCTAAATTCCAGCGGGCGGGGGGGCCCCGCGGGCGTGCGGCGCGGGGCGGGCGGGCGCCGCGGGGGGGCCGGATCCGCGGGGCGGCCGGCGGGGGGGCCGCGGCGGGGCGGGGGGGGGGGGGGGGCGACGCCCCCCAGGCCGGGTTGGGGGGAGGGGGCCGGCGACGGCGCGAGCGGCTCCGGCTGCGGCTGCTGCGGCTGCGAAAACCACAAAAACACCAAAAAACGGGGTCAGAGACGGGCGGGGGCGGCGGGGCGGGGTCTAAAGGGGAAGCCACGCCCCCTCCCCGAGGCCACGCCCCCTCCGGCGCTCACCTGCGTTGGGGGAGGGGCGGAGTTGTTGGCGGGGGAGGCCTCGGGCGGGGCCGGCGGCGGCTCCTCCTGGTCGTGGGCGCGGTGCTGGGGCGGGGTCGGCGCCGCGGGCGGGGCCGGGGCCGGGGGCGGGGCCGTGGCGCTGCGGGACCTGCGGGGGGGGGTTGGAGGGGCGTGGTGGGTGGGGGAGGGGTCTCGGGGGGGGTCGGAGGGGTGTGGTTGGGGGTGGGGGAGGGGGTGCTTTACCTGCTGCGGGAGGAGTTGGAGGAGGAGGAGGAGCCGGCGGGGGAGGAAGAACGTTCCGGCTTCTGCGATTGGCTGGTGGATCTGCGGAGGGGGGAGGGGCGGCAGAGTGAGAGGGGGAGGGGCCGTTTGGGGGGAGGGGTTTGGGGATGGGGGAGGGGCCTCACCTCTTGCGTTTCTTCTCCTTGGCCTTGTGCTTGGCCTTGGGGCTGGGGGAGCTGCCGTGACACCAGCGATGACGTCATCAGTGATGTCATCGCAGAGGCCACGCCCACCGGGCCACACCCACCACCCCCTCCAAGTCCTGCCCCTCCCCCACTCACCGGTGCTTTCGTTTCTTGGCCTCAGATTCGGACCTGGAGGGGGAGGGGGAGGGGGGGGGGAGAAAAAAAGGGGGCGGGGTCAGATTGGCCACACCCCCTTTATCTGTGTGGCTCCACCCCCTCACCTGCATGGCCACGCCCCCTCACCTATAACAGGTGCTGCTCACATTAGTCCCTCCCCTCTACCTTTACCAGAAGCTCCACCCCCTCAGCTGCGTCACAGGTTCTGGCCCCGCCCCCTCCCACCTGTGCCAGGTAAAAGCCCCTCCCCCCTCACCTGTGCCAGGTAAAAGCCCCTCCCCCCTCACCTGTGCTTCTTCTTCTTGCTCTTCTTCCTCTCCCCGGAGCGACTCGCGGACCTGGGGGGGGGAGGGGTTGGGAGACCCCCAGGACACCCCAAAATAACCCCCAGGACACCCCAAAATAACCCCCAAAATCCCCCCCAGGACACCCCAAAATCCCCCCCAGGACACCCCAAAATAACCCCAAAATAAAAACCCCCCCCCCCCAGGACACCCCAAAAATCCCCCCAATCCCCCACCAAAATCCCATCCCCCCCAAGACACCCCCAAAATCCTCCCAGGACACCCCAAAATAACCCCCAAAATCCCCCCCAGGACACCCCAAAATCCTCCCAATCCCACCCCAAAATCCCCCCCAAAATCCAGGACATCCCCGAAATCCCCCTCAGGGATCCCCCCCAAAACAACTCCATTCCCACCCCAAACTCCCCCCCAGGACACCCCAAAATCCCCCCAATCCCACCCCAAAATCCCCCCAAGACACCCCAAAATCCCCCCCAAAATCCCCCCTCAGGACACCCCAAAATCCCCCCAAGACACCCCAAAAATCCCCCTGAAACCACCAAGTCCCCCCAGGACCCAAAAACCCTCCAGGAAGCCCCTCAAAGCCCCTCCCCAGGACCCCCAAATCCCCCCCAAAACCCACCTCACACCCCCAAATCCCACCCGAACCCCCCCAAACCTCCCCTTAAATCACTCCCCGACCCCCCAAATTCACTCCCCCAGACCCCCCGACCCCCCCAGACCCCCAAAATCCCCCCCAAACCCCCCAATATCCCCCCCCAAATCCCCCAGGACCCCAACATCCCAGTTAATCCCCTTAAATCCCCAGACCCCCCAAATCCCCCCCCCTCACCGAACCAGGTGCTGTGTTTGTTCTCCCAGGTACAAGATGAGCCCCCCCAGAGCCCCCCAGACCCCCAAAATCCCCCCCAGACCCCCCAAATCCCACCAGTACCCCCAACCCGCCCTTAAATCCCCCCCAAGCCCCCCCAAATTCACTCCCCCAGAAACCCCCCAGAATCCCCCTAAAGACCCCAAATCCCCCCAAAATCCCCAATATCCCCCCCAAATTCCCCCCAGCCCCCCCCAAATCCCACCTGCCCCCCCCAAATCCCACCTGCCCCGATCCTTCTTCTTCTTCTTCTTCTTCTGCTTCGGGGAGGGCGAGCGCGAGCTCGACTCCTCGGGGGGGGCACTGGGGGGGAACGAGGGCAGGGGGGTGATTTGGGGGGGCCTGGGGAGCTTTGGGGGGTTCCTGGGGGATTTGGGGGTCTGAGGTGGGTTTTGGGGGCCCTGAGGGGGCTTTTGAGAGAGTTAATGTGGGATTTGGGGTCCTGGGGAGGAGCTTTGAGAGGTTTCCCATGGAGGATTTTGGGGTCCTGGGGGGGTTTTGGGTGATTCCGGTGAGTTCTGGGGGTGATTTTGGGGGTCCTGCCCCTCGGGGGGGGTCTGGGGGTACCTGGGGGGCTCCATGTGGGATTTGAGGGGGATTTTGGAGTCCTGAGGGGGATTTTGAGGGGCTTTATGGATGATTTGGGGGTCCTGGGGAGGAGCTTTGAGGATCCTCCT